ACACTAGACTGGAGTGTCGAAATGTTGGGTCTTGATTACAATTCGACTGGGCTTTGTAATCATTTATTTAAACCAGAGTAGCGAGCGAAACATGATTGATATACCTGGTTGCAGTGAACGAACAAACTTTATATTTTTTGTATCGGTCGCACATAAATCTGCCCAGTCCCCAAACATCTCAATTCTTCTGTAGTGCAACTACCACATCGAACAACAACCTGCAAATCCGTTCTTGACTCGAACCCTCCACAATCAGCCAGTAAAGCTATGTGTAAGACATTATATTTCATGTGTATATCAGTTACACTCACTCATGTAACACTTTTCTCACACCATCTGATTTAGCAGATACAGGAAATGCAACTCTTTTTTCTCCCAGCCCAGTATTCTTAAGCTGAAGTTTTAAGAGCGAAGAAGGAACATTATTTTCATCTTTGTCTGCTAAGCATACAATTGTCTGAGTGATTGTTTTCTCTATAAAGCAAGATAACAATCTTTTACATTTTTTACTTAAGCAGTTGTGCATCTTTAATAAAAAATAACTGTACCACTGTTTGATTTATCACAGGACTGAAGTCAGTTGTTATCACACAGTACTGAAGTCAATTAGGTCGAAACAACCAACTGGTCATATGAAGCACAGACCTAATTAAGGGTTAACAGACGTGATCGAGTTTTGCATTTATATATACATGTAATTATAAAAATATATGGTGCAAATTTAACATTAGTAGCTATATGTGTTTACCTGTAGCATATAATCAAAATGCATGAGATTAATATTATTATGAATTATATACTAGGGGATCTAATCTAATATTAAAATAATGGGGATGATAATGATTACATTACCGCATACTTGCAGAACTAGTGCAAAGTAACATAATAAAAGTAAATGGGGTATATGGTATATACATATTCAATCACCAACCTGAAACTACAGTAAGTCTAAGTGTTAGAAAAAAGAAAAAAGCACAATTTGCAGATACATTCACTACAATTGATCCGAATATTCCTTAGGGACCGTGCAATATTTACTAAAAGGCAGGGCCGGTGGAAAAGCAAAATTTCATGAAAAAACTTTCTGCCCTTCGTTCTATCAAATGAAAAAAATGTGTTGCCCTGTTATCTACATTACCAGAAATCTGATTAATTTTGTTGCCGCAGCCCTCTTGGTCTGCGACATATCCACTTAGTATTGAGCATGCGCTATGGCGACAATGTTTATCTAAACATGGAGCGTGGTCGGAGGGTCTCTCGTTCAAAGCTTAACTACAAAGTAGTAAATGCTCTTTCTACCGTAGATTTAGAAGATAATTTAAAGGGAAAAAGAAAGTATAAGAAGGGATCTAAAGTTTATATGGTGGAGAGACTTATTAGCCGGCAAAGATTAAAGAACAATGTATGTGTATTTACCTTTTTAGCTATCATATTTTGCTGTATATTTTAGCAACAATTGAGATACAGTAAGATAGTAACTGCTCTAATCTATCTTTCACAACTTCAGGAGTTCCAGTACCTCGTAAAATGGAAAGACTGGTCATTGTGGACTTGCACATGGGAGCCTTCGGTCCATTTGAATGAGCAACTTATCAGGTAAAATTGTTCGTTCATTTCGCTGTTGATTTTGTCAATTATAAAATGTGTGTTAACCTCATTGTTATATTTGTTTACATCTTTATACTTTGGAAAGTGATTGAATAGCAAAAAATAAGCAAGATATATATTTCTTTGGTGCGTTTTTAGCATAAATAAGTTAAAGTGAACACATGTTTTTGGATTGAATAATGTCCCTGAAGTGTAATTGAGAGTTCAAAGCATGACCCAGACTGCAGAGTTACTCATTGATCTCCCTGGCCTTGAGATGTTTCAAGACAAAATTTTCAGCGCCTTACAAAATTCTTGTGCAACATTGATTGAAGTGACATAAACTGTTTTACAAATATTTGCTCACTTTTGCACCCCTGACTGCCTTTCAATGTGCTCTTGAGAAATATTTTGTTACCCTTGCCCCTAGATTTGTAGTTTTGCTCCCCCGAGATAACGTCAAAACTACCCTATTGTGCTGTGTGGAGCATGACGGCTGACACACACTCTTTAAGCGACTCGGTTAAAGCCTGATTTCCATATGGTCATAACGGTTGTACAGATTGAGTCACAATCTTTCTCATCAGCTAAAATACAACATTTTAGAACTGAAAATATGTGTTGTGATTATAAACTATTATAAACTGGCTGTTGAGAAAGACCTAACCATAACATAATTTTTACCCTAACTTTATGTTTTGTTTTCCTTATTGAAAACCTATAGGATATACAACAATCCTGCTGTTACTCTGGAATGAATACAGAGCACATCAGCTTCATTTCTGCAAGGCATTCTATCTATTCTGAAATCAATTGCTGTTAAGGGAACTGATTCCACTGATATTAGAATTGATCATGATATCATTAGATATGGTTTCAATGGAAAAGGCAAAAAGACTGCAGATGGTGCTGCTATGCTCTATGGAAAAAATAATTTACTCGATTTGGACTTCCGCCATACTGGTACTATTATTTAAATCAACTTGGATAAGGGATTGCAGTTGATTGTCCAGTTAAAGTAAAAACTGTCCTTACCTATTCAAGAAAGCATCGCATGTTTACAAGTATTGTGCAAATTGCACCAAATTTTCCAGTTGAAAAGATTGTGATATATGTGAACTGAAAGGCATGTAATTATACAAACATTTAATATAATTTGTTGTCTTTGGCCCTAGCATATTAAAATTTAACTCTTCATAGCCAACAAAAACACTGAATAATTGTGAGCATGCAAACATATATATGTAATTATGTATGTATATATATTATAAAAACGTTATTCTTCTTATAATCATTAAAAGTTATTCCCATTATAGTTTTGCAAATAATCAAATGTTTTCAATGATGCATGTCTGCATATTTTTGTTCATTTGCTGGATGTACTTACTGGTTTTATTTTAAGATCTCAACCAATTGGATTTTTTCATCTTTGCCAGCCCTCTCACATTAATACTGGCAGATTTGATTTCCTGTCTCAACTGCTTAACAGTCATTTTGTTATATTTATTTTCACTTGAGTTGCTTCCCTGTTCAACAGATGCACTGTGATTAATTTGTATTTCTCGTAAACATGCTTTTGTCCATTTCTTTCTTGTTTCAATGATGTCATTCTCCCAGTAGGCTGCATTTCTTTTATGGTATTGCCTCTTTTCTCTCTCGCAGTGGCGTAGTAACTGCTGCTTATTTTCCACAAGCAGAACATCCCGAGCCCCATCCCATCTATTTGATTTTTGGAAACATATTTTCTTGGCATCGTCATTGTTTTTTTCAACGCCTTGACCTGTGAAATGTCTAAATTTTTTGTGATTCTTAATAAAAATTGGTACATGATACACTAGTGCATGCATGTGTGTGGTTACTCGTTTCTTTTCATAGCCTATTTGAACACCGCCAACTGAGCAAAACAAAGATATAAAATCTTTTGATTTCCAGAAAATGTCAAGGTAAAAGTCATCAGCATTTGAATCAGTGTTGGTTAAATTGTAAAGTAAATAAAAGTCTTTGCAGATTTTGATGACTGTTTCTTTTGATTCAGGAAATAGAATATCTAGTGCTTCCAGTTTTTCAGATCCAACAAGGCTACTCCAGTTATATGTTCCACTAGCTTTCCCGTCAGCATTTTTTTTTCTCCCAAAGAGAAAATGTTATGCCTAATGTTTTCACCCTTCTCCTCACCTTGAGCTTTGTTGAAATCTTCCTTACTGTCTTTCTCCATTACTTCTGTGATTAAATTCTTTGTCATTCTGTCTGTTATTCTCAGCATTAAATGTAATTCATATTCATCCAGAATGATGTCATCAAGCGGAATATTAAATAATGGTCTCTTGACACATGAAAATGTCTTGGAAGAAGAACTTAATTCTTTAATTTCTTGGAGTGTTCTGTTGAGCTCTTCGTTGTAATATGACAGATCTTTGGACATGTCCCATCTGAGAAGCTTATGCACTTTGCACCATAGGCATATGCATGGTCCAAGGTAGCGCCTGACATTCCCATGGCCATCAGCAGAAATTTGTAGTCTCCACCAAGAAACAGTTCAACAGCTACTCCTGTGTCATTGACTTCGATCTTCCCATTTTGATTCACAGAATTTATGTCATTAATAAGTTCTGAATATGATGTCTCCATTGTTTCATAGTGTTCGGGACCATTGACTACCCCATTTGTCCTGTTTCCCTTTGATGACATTACTAAATCCTCTGTTTGAAGTAGCGAGAATGATAATATCATGAAATTTGCTTATCTTGACATCTTTGCGCCATCACAGCTGATCTTGACCTTTATTGGGTCATCAACTTTGTGTTTCAAATTTGACTCGAAAAATTGTTGGATGTGATCTTGCAGAGTTTGGGAAAATGAAAGTTGTGCACCAGGATATTGACCTGGTGTTCTTTCAATATGGCAGAATTTGCTCAGTTCATGCTTCTTTTGTTTAATCAAGTAACTTCTTGGTAAATTGTCAGAAAATAGAGACAATTCATGGTAAAGTTCATCACTTGCACAGAATTTGTCCAGTAAAAAAAGAAGACTTTCTAAATTCTTCTGGTCAGTATCGTTTGCTGGTAATTTGTCAAATTCCATGGTTCATACTTCATTAGTGGCTCTCTCTTGGACCTGGAGAAAAGACAGCTTGAGTCCATGTGACTCAAGAAACCAGAGAGCGAATTCTGATTTTTTAATTGATCAATAGTTCTCCCATGGCAAAGACAATCATTTTCTTTCTCCAAAAGTTTTATATATTCAGATAGTGCTTTATTTTTTCTTCCATTCTTGAGAACTCTTCATCTACAGCTTTGTCTGCCCCTTCCATTTCATTTTCTTTTCTTCTTAATGCTTCTATCATTTCCCTTGCTCACTCTCCAGATTCTTGTACTTCGATTTCCATTCAGCCACTTCTTGTTCTGCAGCAGACAGATTTTTTTCTATTTCATGAGGTAACACAAGTTCACTTTTAAAAATGCTTAAGTTTAGCCCTTTTGTTTCTGCCTCTTTTCTCTTACTTCCACTAACTTTCTCCCCAGTGTTCTTAATCCGTTCTTCCTACAATCTTAAAACCATTGACCAGGAATCCAAAAATTGAGAAGGTCGATGTAGTCTAACTTCTTTCCTTTGCCTTTGTTTTCTTCAGTGGCGAAGCCAGATGTCCTGCTGAGCATGACATACAAAATTTCAGATAATGAATTTTTTACACATATAATTTTTAAAAGAAAACACTTTTATCCAGCTTGACATATGTTCTAACATTTTTTTAACTCCAGCACGTTGCGCAGAAATTCTTAAACAGAGAAATTCATTATGTAACTAACGTTATTTAACTTATTTTGAATGAATATCGAGCCTTTGCCTGCATGCAGGCAAAAGCAGGAAAAATGGGTGGCTTGCCCGAAGTTTAGTCCTGCTCAACTCAGGCGAGCATGACAAACGTAAAATTCTAACGCATTTCATTGGCTAAAACAGCTCTCAAGAATGTGAAACACGCAAAAATATGCCTTTTACTCCTGCTCGAGCTTCGGCGCATGATAAACCTTCGAATATTCTTCAAATTATTCATCTCTCGGTGGCAAAATAGATTTATGAATATGCAAATTAATCCGATTCAACCAAGCATGTGTGAAAGTACCCAAGATGTTATTCTCTTACAAAGGTCTTTTAGTTCCAGTAGCAAATCTTTGAGAATCTACGCAATATATACAGTAGATTGATGTTATACATTATGGGCATTCAATCAAGTACAGAGCTAGGATGGATGGAGTGAGACAGTGTTGTTTTCAAATATATAAACATTTCAAACATGAATATTGAGAAAATCTTTGAGATTCTATGCAATATATAAATTGATGTTATGTGTTACCGACATTATTTAGACCGTATATTCATTATACATTGACTAGTAGATGACTACATCGACTGTATAAGGTGCTACACCACAGATTTACGCGCACTGTCACAGACCTTGTTTACATGTCTAGCACTGTCACAACGCCAACAGCGCAAACTTATGTTCAGTGCAACTCTATCAGACTGTATCAAAGCTTGTCAAAATTGCTATAAACACTGCTATATAACTGAAAATATTGAAATCTAAAGTGACATAATTTATTGAATACATGCGAACATTTGTAATAAATCAAAGGTCAATGAGACTTGTTATTGTGAAACATGTCGCACCTAGGTTAAAATGCGGAAGCGGATGAAGCGAATCCATGGAACGGATATGGGGATAAAATGCAGAATGGATGGGGATAAAATGTGTCTTTTAATGAATGAGTTTTTCCGCCTCTTTTTACGCTTTCGAATTCAAATGAAGTTTTAGAATATGCAAAATTTGGTTGTTGGTCATTTTTGGCTAAAATACGGTAAATTTGCGAAGTTTTGCCCCTTCTTAAGGTCATATTGGAGCTTAGAATTCAATGCTCAAATCGCAGGAAATGGCATTTCCGGGGTTCTAATGGGAGGGGGCATGCCCCCCCCAGACCACCCTAGAAAGCCTTGCGCATTCGCCGCTCGAAGCATGACCAACAATTTTTGGCTGGCTTCGCCACTGGTTATCTTTCATTCCAACAAGGGTATGCCATTTCAGTAAAATTGGATACGGGATGTATATTGCCAGAGCTATTTGAGAAGCTGCAACGCACTGCTGTCTAACATAACAGAGAGGAGATTCTGTCACTTTCAATTGAAATTCCAGGGAATTCCTTTCGAAATCCAGCAAAATATCACACATTTTCTTCGAGAAGACGAGAAAAACAAGCTATTAATTTGAATATTTGGCGCTATTTGGCTTGTAAAAAAGTATGCTAACTTTGTAATCAGTGGAAATAAGCGAATTAAAAGGCTTGGCTGCTAAGCTAAAGTAAATATGGCGGCTTTAAGCTTCTTGTTGGAAAACATATCGTAATTAATGGCCATTTTTCCGCATTGAACGGGACATTTGCAAGCCCAGATGATGTCAAAAACGGCCATTTTTCAGTGCTATTTTGCGGCCTTCTGTTTTATTATGAAAGAATCTTTCTTAATGCATTACAGATGAAGTACTTTCCTCGCTGTTACTTAATTCCCTCAGTAACAGCATCTGGTGTTCTTAATAGTTCTGCATGGTCTTTCTCGAACAGGGTGCGCTCAATATGACGTTCAACTAGGTTGAACTTTTCCGACACCAATCAGACTTTTCCAGTTTGAAATGACCTATGTATTTGTCCAGAATTTGTCCGATAAAAATTTATCCAGTCATAATCTTTATACGTTTTGAGATTGTCCACCTCTCTCCTGCTCTTCTCTGCCCTCTGCTCGCTTTGTCTTTTTTAGCTTCAGATACTCTAGGTGTTCAACTCTCTTGCAAACAAGGTCCTCTCCAATGATTAGTTTCTTCGATGCTTCTTTTACTGTGTTTGTATCAGCTGAATTCAGTTGACCACTTTCAAATAATGTCCTGATCTGCACCCATGGGTTGAAATCGTCAATGTCCCAAACGGAACCATCAGCTTTATAAAATGGAATATTAGGTCCATCATGGTACTTAAGAGCTGCCGTCTGTAAATATCGACTGAAGGTATGCAAAATGAAAAAATTCAAAATCTTCCAACTTTGTCAGAATATAGGTCTAGGTAAACTATTACTAGAAGTTACTATCGCAAGGAAAGTACTGCCTCACCCCCAAGGAATCAAAGGCAGCATGCACATTTGCTGAAGGGGCTGTTCTTAGGCGTAAAAAAATACCTGTGGTTCCGGTTCCCGACTGACCCTATTTTTTTTCTGCCGACCCTATTATTTTTTCAACGCGATTAACCGTGCGACCCTATTTTCTCCAGGTGGTTTCGGGCTGCTCATACAGCGTGCCAAAATGACGTCTGTTGTCACACTAATTATTGAACGAAATTGCCTAAATTTGTCCATAGGAAATATGCATCTCTAGTTAATATTGATGTTGGCACTTTACTGCAAATCGCCCAGCAAAAAAACGCCAAAACCATGAAAAAAATATTTAAAAAAAAATTATTTCCGACCTACCGACCTTAATTTTTTCACGATATTAAACCGGAACCATGGGAAACCACAAAACGCGGACTCCCGGTCCATGGACTACCTTCGTGGACCTGGTCCATGGACTACACTTGTGGACCACGGACCACTCCTGTGGACCACTCTCGTGGACCACTTGCGAAATTTCGCCTACCGAACAATAGACCAAGCACTATTATTCCGAGTTTAGGGAGCCGAGATTGGCGGGAACTATTTCATTATTCATTTCCATTATTTATTTCACAATCAATTCGGTTTTTGTTGATGAACAGTGAATACTAAGTCTGTAAAAATGCTGAAAAAATGTAGTCAGGGTTCCATTAAAAAATATAGGAATACTGTGGAGAATCTGGAGGGGAGGGGAGGGGAGGGGGTGGTCAAAGGATTTTACTGAATTATTCGAATTTTACTGTTAAAAAATCACTTGAACTGTAGAAGTCGTAAGTTGCAATGACCTTTCAATGCCTGAAGGTCCTCTCCCAAAAATATTAATTTTTGAAGCTCGATTACTGCTTTTCTTGCATTTGAGTTCTGTTAACCAGCATTTGAACTTTGTTTAGCCTGTTGACTTATTTCAATACATCAAAATCATCCCACCTTCCGTCATGTAAACAGCCCCTACCCTAAGATGCCTGTTCAGGAGGTAGGAAAAGTGCAATTTGAATACCAAACACCTTGCACAAATGCAAAGGTCAGCTAAATATTCTAATTCTACTTTCTTGGCATGGCTGTTTTTATATGAATACCTTCAATGCTTATAATTTTTGCTTTTGTATCTATAATTATAATACTGTTAGTGGTGAAGCTAGCTTAGCAACAGGTCATGCTACGGTTTTTAATGTCTGCATTGCAGGTCTATTAGAATACCATGATCAGTTGCCATACAAGCTTGCCACTCATTACTGTACAATATGGTCAGTATAATCTGCAGACTGCAGACCGGACTGGGCACAAAATGCAGACTGGGGGTATAAAATGCAGACTGGGGGTATAAAATGCAGACTGAGGGTGAATTAGGGATATTTTACCAATGCCTGCCCTAGAACACCATTATCTCGTTGAAAATGTTAAAACACAGATAATTTTAGTTTTTCCTTCATCGTATTTACTCGATCTTTGTCGTGGTCATCGATATTAGGCATCAATCTTGAGAAATTACCACTGATTGAAATTCATGTAAGGTGCGAAGCAACATTTGTGGATGGAGG